TTTTTTTAAAAAAAGCAATAAATCTCAGCTTTAGGTGATAACGGTTTTTAAAAATCTTAACATGTCAGCAAAGATTAAGCTTGATGCAACAATTTAAAAACTCATAAAAAATTTCATTAGTAAAGCAGCACACATAAACAAAAGCTTAAATAGCAAAAGACTAATACTAAAAAATATTGGAAAAAAAGTATAAAACAAAATGGTAAAATAATCACGACATGCGATTGAACGATAATTAAGATAGGAAAGCACACGCAGCATTGGCCAAAAACTCTGGTTGCCCAACGAGCAACGAAAAAAACAAAACTGAAGCTGGGGCTCAAACAGCAATGGACGGTAGTTTGGTGGCATGTGGTGCGATATTAATAAATCATTAGCAGACTGAGGGGGCGCCTCTATATAAATCATCGATCGAGGCAGGGCAGACGTGGGAAGCAAAGAAGACATGTTGTAATTTCAGAGACCGTGTGCAGGCCTTCATCTAATTAAAGGGCGCCGGCAAATTGGGAGGTAGCCTGCCTGCCAGTAGATGTCTGCCTCTAGATGAGGATGAGAACGATGATGATGATGATGATGCTGAACAGTACTGGCCGCAATGGGACGCCTAATGAATGCCATTGTCACCGGTGCTGCTGCTGCTGCTGTTGTTGTTTTTGTTGCAGTTGCTGCACCGGCGACGACGGCGACGGCAACACAGTTGACAATGGATAGAGGAAACCGGTGGCTGGATTTAATATAAATAGGCATCTGAATGAATCAATGGAAAACAATAGCTGACTGTCTTACTAAAGAACACTGCGCTGCTGTACCACCATCATTATCGTCATCTGTGAATGCAGGATACAGTTTAAAAATATTTTTTTGGCAAACACACTTTAACTCACAAACAAGCACAATTTGGCCCCACTAACAATTGCAAATGGCTTTTTCACTTGTAGTCACCGGTAAGTGAAACAACCAGTTATTTTCTGGTTGTGAAACAAATTTAACTAGACTCAACGAAGTGTACCTTTTCTGCTTCATGTTTTGTTTTGTTTTGTTTCTTTACTGTAGTGCTGGTATTGACAGTCTCCTGGGGCCTGCCGTCTGTTCGTGCTGATTGTGACAGTTTAGCACACCTTGATGTTACCTGTGGTTTAGAGGCAAGTGACAAGTTTGACAATGAAAAAGGGAAAATACAAAGATGCTTGCTCCAGTTACTAATGATTCAAGTTAATAAAACAATGTCTTCTTCCACTCAATTAGGTGCAATTTTTCGGCAATCGAGCACAGAAGCCAAACAGCAACCAGGCAGCTTTTGATGAAAACTGCAAGTAAGTGAGTGAGCAAAAATGAGTCCGTATGAATAGACTAAAACAAAGGGCACCAAAGTTTGTGCACCGGCAAACTCATTACCATTGCTTTTTCTTCTTACACTAAAACATACATTTTGTTTTTGTAGAACATACAAAGACGGCGTTGACTGTTTGATTGACTACTCAAACAAGTGCCTTGAAGCACAACCCGCTGCCTTGGCAAAGAGCATCATGAAAAGCGTCAAGGACCACTACAATAAACGATGCAATGACCCAGACTACAGTAAAGACTTTATAGAGCATAATAAGTGCTTTGAAGACCCGGCCATTTTTGAGCAGTTCCACCAGTGCGAAGACAAGTGGTTCCACCGAATGCAAGAGTTGCTGAAACTGAAGGTCGACGTAGAGAAAGGTAGCATTATAAATTAAGTAGAGAAAATATAAAAAATGTTAAACTATCTAAACAGGCATCCAGTCAACTTGCTGTATCTTCCACGAGTTCCAGCGATGCATCAGCGAACAGAACACCAACCTGTGTCACGATAAAAATGCCCGATTCTGGGACGATACACTGGATGAGGTGAGCGATGACACGGTGAACATCTTCTGCGCCCAGTTGAAGACGTCAGAGCAGTGCTCCAAAAACTTTCCCGCTGACATGTGGAAACAGATCGACGAACCAGTGAAGGGCATGGACGCTGAGGCGCTAAAGCAGAGAACAGGTAAGTTCAAGTCAATGTTCCTTCAGGCACTGGACATGATCAGCTCTTACAACCTAAAACAGTAGTTACTCACTGAATGTTACACACAATGTTTGAGAAATGAAAACACAATAAGATCAAAGATGAAAAAATATGAAATAAAAATTTTTATGCGTTAAAGTTGCCAAAACTGACAGTAAAAAACTAAAACTAAAACGCAGAAAACGTCTGTTTATTTGGCAAATTCAAGTTGCCGCAGCAAGGCGGCAGCTCATTCAAGCAAGTACTCAAATCCGCCATTCTGGGTGCGCTTGATGAACTTCTTGTCAATGAGGTCGACCACTATGGTGTTGACCTCATCGAGGGTCAGTCTGTCAGTGGGCGGAAAGGGCGCCTTGGAGGTGGTGAAGAGGTGCTCCTTGATCGCCTGATACAGCTCAGACATGGACTTAAAGTGCCGTGCCTGCTTCACCACTCGCACAGTGGCCGCCTCAATCTTCACCTGTCGGTCAAGGGCAGTGTCGACGCAGCTGATGATGGCCATGCTGTGGACTGCACTGCTCGAACTGGCACCAGTAAGGGCATCGTCAGCAGAGTCAAAGGGAATTGCCAGATTTTGATGCCGACGGCGCAGAATGATTGAGCAGTTAGCGTAGACGTCCTCCACCGCCTTCTCCGCCGCCTCCAGGTGAATGTCCACTGCAGAGACGCCCAGAGCGGCCATCAGCTTGCTCGTCTTCAGGTCGACAGTGCGGCCTTCGCCTGACCAGAAGTTGACCTGCTCAAAGGTGGACAGGTCCTTGGTCTTGCCGTCCGTTGCCAGCTCCTTGTTGGCGTTGTAGAAGTGCTGGCTGTCGTCCACGGCAAACTTCAGCACCTGAAGAGCAGAACTGGCCGGGGTGGAGCTGAGGCCGATCACCTTGAGGAGGCCGCAGTAGACGAGAGAGAGGATGGCCAGCTTGGCGTTGTTCTCCACCTGAAAGCG